TATATGTATATACACACGTGTATGTATCTGTACATGTATATGAGCCATAATCTAGCATCCTTCAAGCAGGTTCTGAAAAGGATTATATAGTGGACTACTGTTGAGGTTACTAAGGGGGATACTAGGAGTTTAGACTATGGCTCATGTAAAGGACTGGAGAACTTACCGTTTACTAGAGCTCTGCGGGTTATGATACATCACCTCAACGGTACGAGATCGTGAAGTATGCAGGGTCCTGAAATGATTGCTTGCCTCCCCCCCCCTGGTGGCCCTAAACCCTATAACCCTTGAACCCTAAAACCTTAAACAATCCCAACGCTCAGAAACTCTCGTATCACGTCTGATTCGCATCCTTGGCAGCTGCTACGGCTTCAACTTACTGAATTCGAGGAGAGGAGGCGCTTGCTCTTCGAGCAGAACGCTAGGAGGGAAACATGGCGCCAACATCAGCTGACTGATGCAAGGGCCAAAATGATTGGAACACGTGTTCTTGTTGTGTTGCCTGGGGTCCAAACTATTTTGGCCCGTGCATTACCTGAAATTGCTGTCTCATCCACAGCTCCAGCTCGTCGTCTCGCAGAAGCGTCTGCTTGTTTGCAACTGCTTCGTAATTCTTCGAGTTGCGTTGAACCTTGGCTGAATTCGCAATGACTGTCAGGGACTCGAGTTGCTAGGCAAAAACTCGGAAACGCAACGCATTAGACTCATAAGGTACGCTCTACACACTGCCGAGGAGCTAGCATGGCGGCCTGTCCGCGCTTGGCAGCTGCGTGCACCGAAGTTTTCATCTTCGGGTCGGCCGCGTAATCGTCATTGGGCATAGTTCTGTTCAGCCGTCGATGGCACTTGCGCACCTCTTCCAGCCTGAGCAGCGCAGACGCAGAGCGCTCATGCAGAAGGTGTTTGCTGCGAAAGCCGGGTAGACAAGCAGCATAAGAAGACACGTAGGTAGCGTGGGCAGGCTGAAAGCAGAAGCACCCACATGGAGGAGAGAAAAAGTAGGAAGAATAGCAAGAAGATAATGAAGAGTAATAATGGCCACGTACCTGTGCCCTTGCCAGAAAGCAGACCAAACCTTCCATGTCAGGAAGTAAAGAGCTGGAAGAGGCAACACAAGCACACAAATTCATACGAAGCCTTCCTCATGCGGTCGTAGATGCGGGCATAGTGCATTTACACACACGCGCCCCTCACTTATCCACAACTCCAGGCGAGGGATTGAACATACATGTCATCTTGCAAAGTTACATGCTGAATACCTTCCCAAAACTAACATGGACTTGAACAGTGGCTTATCAAGACTGCTGGCTGCTGTCCTTTAACACGGAGGCCGTATGGGGTTCCCGGCTTTGTGGGGAGGGTAAAAAGGATAGCAACGGAATCAAGAGCTGAAGGCGTTCGCAGTACTCAAACTCCAAACTGCACCAACAACGGTACATCATAGCAGTCCCTAGAAAATCTCTCAGGGCAACCCTATCATCTCCTTTATACTACCTATGCATCCTAAAGTCCATAGCGTCGCCTTTCGTGGAGAACTCTGCATCTTAGTTAGGACGACATCTCAAGCATGGCCAGGAGCAGTCCGCTTCGTCCGTTGCATGTGAAGGCTTTTAGTAAACTCCTCCAAGAGGATCTCTGGGGAATAGTCTAGTATTGCAAGCCCTCCACTATCCAGGACCTTCCTTGTACCCTTAATTGGGGATATATGGTCCCTAATAGTGGGTACTTAGGCCCTAATAGAGGGTAGGAGGAGGGTCTAGGATGAGACCCTACCCATGTCGCTCCAAGGAACACCTCCGAGCGCGCCACTCCGAACCGACCAGGGAGCGTTTGTAACTGGAAAGTGTCCAGTTGCTTGGAGCTTAGAGGGCAAGAACCCCAAAAAGGGCACCCATAATTTTGGGAGACCTAGTTTTTCGGGGGTTCTAAAGGAAGGTTCAATAGGAATCCAAGCCCTCATTCCCGACTCATCCCTAGGGTTTAGGATTTAGGGTATCATCACCCCCCCCCACCAACAAATACTCCCCAGCGTGTTGAGTTCCCTGGTTCCACACCCAACAGCCCAGGATATTATCCAGCGGATTCTGCGCTACTGCCAGTGCATGTTCCTAATTAAAGGATATTGGGCTTGCGTAGGTTTGGTGGACGAAGATCGAGGACAGCATGGCGTGCAGCGTCGCCGTTTACTACTGCTATGGCTAAGAGACGAAGTCCTGCAGTGCTACAGGATGTCTAGGAATTTTGGTGCTTTAGTAAACTGAGGGTCTTGCAGGATTTTGTTTGTCAACTCTGCTTCCTCCACCACCAGGACCACATGAAGTGTTACTAGGCCCACCTCTAGGACCCCATACGACCAACACATGAACACGCCCCATTCCCAAAGACGGCTTAAAAGCAATCCCTATGTAACCTTTAATAAGGCCTCAATTTGGGGGGGAGGCGGGGTAGGGGCCGCTTGGGCAGGCGTAGAAACCTAGAGGACGTATGCCTATATGGCGCTGAACTACCTAGACCCTGATTAATAACCCCCTCCCCTTAATAGGGATTATCATAGGGATCCCAAAATTAAGGCCCTTAAAAGGAAAGGGGTTTATTAATCATGGGTCTACACCCTAAACCCTAAATAGTAGTTTCGATAATATCCCTAATCTCCCCTATATTACTATAATACCCCTATCATTGATATTATTAATCATGGGTCTACATTAAGAGCCTCTTGGGGTCCGGGAATTTTGGGTCTCTAGATCTGACAGTCTCAACTTTCTTTGGATTCCCATGTTGAATGTTATCCAAACGAAGCCTTACATGATGCGATATGTATGTGTGTATATATATATGTATACACGTGTTTGTTTATGTCTGTCTATTTCTGTGTATATATATATATATGGTGTTTTTTGTGTTGTGTTTAATGTTAGGAGGAAGGTTGGCAAAGCACGCGCTGGGTAGGTGGTCACAGAACCCAGAAGTCGTCATCAGGCATGTCGTAGCGGTATTGAAAATTACTTACTACGACGCTTTGCATGCTGACGCTTTCCATGACTTTTTGCAGACCGTGCTCTTTTGGGTACTGCCCGCACCCAGTGACAGTTTATAACAGGGCTGGGTAAGCTTAAGTGTTCCTGGAGCCCTCATTGAAGAACAATGCCACTTGAAGAGAACCATATAGTGGTAAGGAGGCGCGCAAACTCCAAAACAATGTTAAACATCCGCACTCACCAATTCTTTTTCGAGGCTCGATATGAACCGGACAACCCCACCGCTGCAAAGAGGGGCCTGTGTCCGCCGTGCAACGGCGCAGAAGTCCTCGAAGATGGAACGACGAACGGGCTGCAACGAGCCCTTCATCTTGATCTTCTTCCTGGGCACTGCTTTATAGCTCAGCTTGAGAAGTTGCGTATTTTTCGCGGCTACCATTGGTATGGCTGCTTGAACTAATTATCCAAAACACTTGCTGTTGATACAGGGAATGACCCAACTCTTGAGAAAGACTGATTTACTGACTGTGGCCTGCGTGTGTTTCGAAGCCGAGAAAAGGTCTTGTGGGACTAGCAGGGTTTGAGCCGCGGATTGGATTTTCGTTGGGGGGACCTACAGGGAGTATATATGTATATATGTATATATTTATGTGTGTGTATGTATGTATGTATGTATGTATGTATGTATGTATGCATGTAGGTATGTATGTATGTAGGTATGTATGTATGCATGTATGTATCTGTAATTGTATGTATGTCTTTATGACTGTATGTATATATGGGATGTAGCTGGATCTATTCAGGAATATACAGAACATTGCTTTAGTTCAGGCTTCATCTACTTGTGAGCCTAAACCCTATACCCTAAACCGCGTTTTGGCTTGAGGTCTGGTGAGGTGTTCTTGTGCACTTGCTCGATTTTCAGTCTTGGACCTGCTTGTGCGTGAAGGTCCTTCGTTGAAAGCCCTTACACCCTACACTCTAGACTAAGATAGATTTGGGCGCCCTACAGCGTGCTTTTCATGGCTGTGAGGGCGGGGTTATCTACGGATTAAGGGTAATGAAAAACAGCTTTCAAAGCTACCCCTGCAAACCATCCATCCTAAGCCCCTAAAACTTCGGCCCAGCCGAACTGAAGATTGGATAAAGCCCCCTAGACAAATCACATAAGCATTCCAGACTGGGGTACAATTCAGAATCAAGGCTTTCGGGTTTAGATTCCTGCTTGCAGTTTGCACCTTGAAAACAGGTTATGTTCAACAATGACCTTGTATATGGCCAGCTTCCATATTAGGGCCATTTTTTGTACACCACAGACATTACGGGCCTTGCTACAACAAGTACCCGTACCCAGTGCGGACCCATTACTTTGACACTATCTTGTAGAGGACCCTCATTAACCTAAAGTGTCCATATCCAGCAGGCCTAGCCCGTTTCACCTATCGACTCGACATGCTAGCTGTGAATAGCTGAAGCGTTGTTGTGAAGAAGTGCTTCTAGGGCACATTCTAGGAGCCCTCCAGGGTACGGATCAGGCAAATACTAGGTAAAGAGACCCTAAACCCTCAACCCAGGGGCCCATGGCTTCGGGACTACACTACTTCAGTCGGTACTCCCGTCACCTTAGTTCCGAACGGCCCCGTCCCAATACGTATCACATCCTCTAATATGGCCGTATCATAATGTGTGTGTGTGTGTGTCGCTTATTTGCAGGTTTATTCGTGGGGGAAGTGAGCATTGCCACGATCATCTTTCATTTAGTTCCCTAAACCCTAAACCGTGTAGCTTCCCTTGATAACCAGGGGCCTATGCACCGCAACTTCGGCACATATCATATACCTGTCATCAGATAAGAGATCCTGAGAATAGCCTAAACCCTAAATCCAAAACCCTAAACCCTACACACTAAATCCTAAAACCTAAACCCTACACCCTAAACCCTAAATCCTAAACCCTAAATAAATCCTAAACCCTACACCCTAAATCCTAAACCCTACTCCCTAAATCCTAAGCCTAAACCCTAGGTCTCCTGCATACATGATCCATCGGGATGTCTCCAGTCACTGATGGAAGGGCTTGAGGTTTGTGAGCAGGGCTTCGGGCTCCGCAGCCCTCATAAAGGGTTTAGAGTTTAGGGCTTAGGGTTTAGGGGTTAGGAATAGCAATTATTATCTCGTTTCATATGGCCATATGGGGGTTTCTCAAACTTAGGGGTACCTTTTTGCGTTATAATAAGGATCATAATATTTTTTTTGGGTGGGGTCTGTTTTCGACGTCCCCTATCTTGGGAAACTCCCATATGGACGATAAGCGTCATCATGTCATCTTATTCCGGTCTTTGGTTAGCTAGAAATTTTGTAGCCCCTATGTAACCCATTATAGTTTTTTCCCTTTTCTTTTCCATTCCTCCATTCCCCAGCTAGCCAAAGGCCAGTATTGAGTCAAGCTGCTGTTTGTCAAGAATTCTGGCCTGCTTCGACTTCAACGTCGACGCTGCGTTCCTGGAACGTACTCAATAGAAAGAGACCTCCTGGACGATCCCTCGACTTAGCAGGTCTACTTAGTAACTTGGGTCATAGTTATAGGGCTTATCCTGGAACGTACTGACCCCTTGACTTAGTAAGTCTACTTAGTAACTTGGGTTATAGGGCTTATAAGAAGGGTTATCAGGCATAGTAGGTAGACTTACTAAGCAAGCTCACCCTAAGGGTCCGAGCATCCAAAGAATGAGGCTTTAGGGTGCTTGGAACCTCAACAGTTGGGTCCTTGAGCCCTTAGGGCTATTTACAAACACTGGGATATTAGCGGTCGCTTATCCTGATTTCAGACTTGGTGTCTCTGGGTGAGTTGGCAGAGTCTTGCACTGTAATCACCCCCTTCCCATGATAGCCCCCCCGCACCCCCCCACACCCCTCTAATCACTGATCTTCCCTGTGGTATATGGTGATCCTCTATTGCGAGCTATCATTAAGGTGAGGGGATTGAGTACGAATTGCCTCATGCGGCCAAGCCAGTATCAAAGACTTCTTCTGATAAACATTTGGGACTATATGTGCAGTTTCTGAATTCAGGTTCCGAGCTTTGTAGCCCAACTAAAAGGCCAATAATTCAGTTCAGGCATCACCAAAACTGATCACAAGTACTAGATCCTGGTGGCAAGCTGCTCCACCACAAGAAGCCTAGAAACTTTCAACACGCAAAACACAAGTTAAACCCTGCAGTCTGGTGCATTCAAACTATAGATGACAAAAGTAGAAGCGGCAGCGCGCAAGGGCCCTCATGAGTTGACTTGCTGTGCTCCCAAGCTCAATGGCGTATGCTGCAAGCCAGCATGCAGCTGTTGGACAGTACCTCCTACACCTAACACTTTCAAAGGGATGCCAAAAGCCTATTGAGTACGGAACTTACCCTGAAGCATGGAGGACCCCTGGGATCATTCACGGCGAAACTGAGCTCTATATGCCTCCGAGACTTTACACCACAACCCTGAAATTCTCAGGACTTTCGGCGCCTTCGCAGGTCGACATTTCGATCGCGGTGCTTGCTGAGGTTGATCCGGCACCTTTTTGCAAAGTGGAAACATGACATGGGTCTGCTTTAGCCTAGGAAAAAGGTTGAGTGTTCAGCACTCTTGTACCCTGCGAAAGCTTTCGTTTGCCTAACATAATACGGTCCTGCGAATATGAGAGAAGAAGAGAACTTTTTTAACATCTTATCCGGGATGCCCTCAAGGAAACCGGAAACCGTTCAGAGCTTGCTCGCTGTGCCTTACATGCGTCTTTCTTCGTAGGCCTGAGGTGGCTTGAGTACCTAGAACAAACTGGCTTATAATCCCCCTAGACCCTAAGCCTAAACCCTAAACCCTACTATAATCGCCTTACCGGTCTTACCTGGGTTACCTCAATTAGAAGAAGGGCTATAGCCGCAGTGAAAAGCGGCGACTAAGTCTTCGGAACCTTCAAACAGGATTTGAGTGGCTTTCAATGGTCGAACGAAGTAAGATTAAGTTCTTCTCGCAAACTACTGTAAGCAACTGGAGGACGTTATCTTTCTCTATTTGGGGGCTATTCTTGCATAGAGCACTACTCACTTGAAGAGATCAACCTGGCTGGTGGAAAGGGTCTGAGTCCCAAACCCTCACCCAAGAGGTCCCGCAATCTGGGTTAAGAAAATTGAGCTATGTTACCATGATATGGATATATGGCAGTTTTTCGAAACAAGGAGACCCCAACCTAGAACCCAATCTACTGCAATCCTTTTCTGGGGAGCCCCCAAATACAGTACCCCACATTTGAGGAAACTCCTGAATAGCGAACCATGTGGCATCCTTACACTGCATGGTAGCTCAAAGCAAGTTTCTTAGCAGCGACCCAGTAAGGCCAGGACTCATAATGGGGTCTGAGTTCATTAACACCATATGTATGCAAGCCGTTCCAAGGGATATGTTCTAATCTGCCAGAGTAGCAGACCTACTACGCACTCTCCATCATAGACCTCTCCAGACACTTCCCAAGCTCTTAAGCCATTCCAAAGCTCACTAAACCTAGGCCTGAAACCTCAGGCACCCCAAAACTTTACTTAATTGGCATGCCCTGCACCCAAAGCCAAGAGAAAACCCTTAAGGCCTGAACCCTGCCGGCCAAAAAGCTAAGAGCTGATCCCTTAGCCCCAATCCTGAAAACCTACAGCCTGAAGTTGAAACTGCAGGTAATCACCAGGCCGCCCCCAAATTAATTTCGGCTGCGGCGCTTGCCCGCCAAGGAGGCAGCACGAGCCCAAAACTCCTTGGGCTTAGACTTGCTGGTGCTTAATCCTAGGGGTGCAAGTACTGAACTATTAGGTACTTGGGGCTTTGGTAATAGTAATTGTAGTACATGTTTCGGGGAAGTATATGATTGCTGGGAACTTGGACCCTTGGGGTAAGAGGGAGCGGGAGAGTGCTAGTCTATAATACTGCCTGTAGAACATACCCTTCGATGATAGATTCCATGTTCCCTCACCCGCTCCCCTTCAGCACCAGCAAGACGTCCGGAAGGCCCTGTGGAGGAGGGCGACAGAGGTGTGAGAGACTTTAAGTTGTAGGGTTTAGGGCTTGTAGCTTCGGGTATATCGGTATATGGCTGTGTTACAATTGAGTTTATAGGGATTAGTTGGGCAACTTTCCAGATGAGAGTTCTAGAATTTGGGAGTTTGAGCCGTCGGCCGCCACAGAAGTTGAATAGCCTTGGCGATATTAGCTTGAGCTCCCCGGACTCCTCGTTTTGGAGGGAAGGGCCAGGAACTCTCCTCTTTGACCAATCGCCTGCCGACTTTTCCTGCAACAACCATTAGCAAGGCCGGGGCCAGGATTCGCTCTCTTACAAAATCCCAGAATACCTGTTGCAAGGCACACAGCCCTGATAAAGATGCATAGTTCGAGAAAGCTTAGACTTCTTAGGTTTAGGGTCCGGGGCTGATGGCGCAGAGCTTGAGGCTTTCGAGACGACTATGAGTCAGAATGACAATGCGATATATGATAGGAAGTCCGACGTGAGTTTTTTGCGAGCACAAACGCAAGTGAACGACGCAGTTACGGATCAGACGCTCTAGCAGAACAATATAGCCGTTTCAAGTTCTGGCACCACTTCCTTTTGCTAAATCTATTTTGTTGCTACCACTAACTGAGCCTTAAAACAATATATTCATAACACTGGCCTTTTTGACTTCTCTGGGGTTCCAGGTACTGCCAGATCTCCCATCGAACTCTAAATCCTAGGTATGCAAATATACAAATACCAATGATGGAGAATTAAATGAGGAAAGAACATGGAACATGAACAAATAGAAACTGGGGTTGTATGGGGATAGAAGTATACAAATGATACCCACTTTGATCATCAGGGAAACCCTTAACCGCCCCAAACCCTAAACCCTTTACTTTAAACCCTCAACCGATAACCGCGCTCTGCTGTCACGCGTCACTTTCGCTAATCTCGCTTCTTCTTCGGCTGAGCGCGTTGATCTCGGCCTGGCAGGTGCCAACTGGGTAAACCCAGACCCCCAAAAGGATCTAAACATTAGATCCCCTAGAACCATAGGGGGAAATCATATAAGGATTATGTAGGGGTTATAATGGGTCTATATAGGGGATCCTCCCAGGGGTTTGGGAAGGTGTAAGGTTTGGAGGCTCAGGGGGTGTAGTTTACCGGCCTTGATCTATCAACACCCCTGCCCGTCACAAAAGCGAGGGGGTAGCCTTGAACCCTACACCCTAAACCCTAAATTTAGGGTGTAGGGTTTAGAGAGACTCCAGGCATGTCGGGACCCCAATTGGTAAACTGATTCACCACCTCAATTACAATCCCTAAAACATCCTAAAACCCAGAACCCCTCTAAACCGTATGATCCCAAGCCTGCCCCACCTCACCAGGACCGCAAGCAGATTAACCCAGAAACCTAAACCCCAACCGCGCGAACGCAGGCACGAGGCCTTAGCAGGTTTGTCGTATTTGGGCTCCCCTGTGGGGAACCGCCCTCATAAAACCACGGTGGGGATCTACCTATAGCCCCTTTACAGGGAACCCACATTATGGTAGGTTGGCCTGCAACCTGATAACCACTATGGCAACTCAACCCTAAGCCCGGTTATACCCCATTATTCAACCACAACGAAAGTATACACCCCCTACATACCGCCTATATAGGGCCTAGGTATATCCCCATATAACCTCTGGTATACCTTAGGTTGGGCCCCACCCACTAATAGTGACCACAAGAGGCAATGGTTATTATACTAAGGTCCTTATATATTCCCAGTATACCACTATTAGTCGTAAATCCTAAACCCTAAACTCTAAACCCTAAACCCTAAATACTCTAAACCCTGAACCCTAAACCCTTTATCCCCCTTTGAAGGGAAACCTGACCATCGGCCTGGCTCTTTTTCAGCAGCTCGCGGCCAAATCTGTCGAGGGCTACCCGCACAAGCAGACCGCGTGCCTGGGAGGTGTGAGGAACAAAAAGGGTTGCCCTAAAGTCCTTAAAATGAGCTATAGTCTAAACTCCTAGCATCCCCCTTAATAAGCCCCATAATAGTCCTCTATTAATCCCCTATATATCCCCCTTTAAGGAGTTTAGACTAAAGCTCAAATGATGTCTACTTTAGGCCCCAAAGTCCATAAATCATAAGGGTTTTAGGGTTTAGAGGTTTAGGGTTTAGGAAAGTTTAGGGTTTAGGGTTTAGGGACCGTGCATCAAAAAAGGTACAAAGCGCATACTTTGGGCCCTGAAGTCTATAGCAATACCGGTAATACCTACCTTCATGATTGTTGGATCTCTGCGGTTGGTGTTAATGGCTTAGGGTCTGGGGTTTGGAGTTCATGGTTTAGGGTGTAGAGTTGCAAGTACGGGGTTCAGGGCTTAGCTTTAGGATTTGGAGTTTAGGGTTCAGGGCCTTAGGGTCAGAGGTTTAGGATTGGTAGTTTGGGCTTAGGGTTTGAACAAGACAAGCAAAACTGTTACGTGGCACTCTCTTGTCACTCACAGACGGCACGCGCAGTAGCAGCAGTCATGACGGCGGCACAGATTAAAACAAAAGCCTCATAAGCAAGTCACGTATTCGCACGGTTGGCTACAAAATAATGAATACTGAACCATATTGAAGTAGGGCGGTGTGAGAGGACGAGTGACCGGTCTTGCTGAACGGGGAGGACGGTAAGACAAATGTCAACACATGTCTATCCACGAATGAACCATGTGAGTGCAACTACACAATAATGTTGTCAGAAGTGTGACTGCCCACAGCGCAGTGACACCCACGCATTTGTAATACGTGGGACTGCAGGGCGCGAAGGAGGCGACCTTTTGAGTCATCCCCATAACTAAGTCAAATCCAGTGGCAGATACAGCCCTGGCAGCTACCTACGTGTTGGGGCTGTGGGGTACGAAGCACTGAAAACACATAAGCTTGTTTTGTGGGCCTAGGGGCTCAAGTACCCTCAGGTTTCAAGTACTCAATTATGGCATGCTTGCCCCAGAGCTGTACTGATATTGCAACTATCCCAAACCCAAACATTCTTTTACTGCATCCTGGGACCCTTGTCACTTCTCACTTATGACCAGCAATAGTCTCAGAAAATGCCACCAAATCCCTCAACTCAAATCCCCACATCCACCCCCTAATCAACCGCCCGTCCCCCCAACCGTGGATCCTGAAACCCCCAAAGCCGTAGTCAAACCACACAACTCTGAACTCCGAAAGCCCCCTAGAAGAGCTAACATCATGACCCATCGGCCTGTGAATCCCGGTGAAACCCTGAATCATTTAGGCTTTAGGATTTAAAGCTGTACAACCTTAAGCCCATGAACCCTAGACCGCCAAGCCCTTTAGGAGCCAAATTTATCTGTCGTTCCCAAGGAATACATTATAAGAGTAGTCCCTGGAAAATCACCAATAGCATGGTATTTTCCATTTTCTTTTCCACCCTTTATTCCCTTCTAACCAGAGGTAGTCTGAATGGTCCAGGACTACAGCGCGCTTTATAGTCCCAGCCCCAGCTTGCATTTCCTTCTCCATTCCTTTCCATCCATTATTGGGGGACTAGTCCCCCTTAACCTCATACAATTTCTATAATCATCCCTACCTAATCTTTATAATGATCCCGAACCCCAAACCCTAAACCCTAAACCCGGGCAGGACTGTAAAGACGGAAGCGTTGAGTCTCCGACGTATCGCTGGATGTCGATGGCCGCAGAGTGGAGCCTGCAGTCATTTATTGGCGGCCAGTACCGACTGGAAAAGAAAAAGAACGCTACGTAGAACCCCCCTCCTGCCCTCTAATAGCGACTAAGCATCTACTTTTAGGGACCATATATCCCCAATTAAGGGTCCTGGTACTGAGTGGTGTAGAGTTTAGGGTTTAGGGTTTGGGGCCTATAGACTGTGGGATTTAGGGCTTTCATTTTTAAACTGGTGGCTATTAGGAAAGGGAAAATGAAATGGAAGCTGGGGACTTTACCGCCCGTGAAAAAAGGGGGTTATGGGGGATAAATGGGGTTTTGCAGTAAGGAATGAACAAGAACGTGGAAAACACTGGGTACTTGAAAGTGGGACATGAGAACAGACAATTAACACTACTGTAATGATGTAGATCTTAGGGTCTAAGGGGACGCAGTAGGAAATGAACAAATGGGAAACGATTGTAGAGTTTAGGGCTCATCAGGGTTTAGTGCCATGGGGCAGGCAGGAATGGAGCCCTAGGGTTTAAGGTTTAGGTTTAGGGTTTAGGCTGACTTAACTAGTACGAAAATGGCTGTAACGCCTCTACTAAACACAGTTATCCCCATTAGTAAGCTACTTATTAGGTCCACCAGACCGCCAAAGCATATACTCGTTCCCCAGTCAGGACTGGAAAGTCCTCGCAGGAGAGAAATGTTCCACTCTCCTTCCATCAAGTCATACAGGTACATCCGCACCTCATCGGATCATACGGGGTCGCATAATAACCTGTTCCTACTTGCTTGACCCGAAATTTTCCTCTGATCATTGTTTCCATTTTTTGGCCTTATCGTGTTGGTCATCGAGGTTTTTGTTTCCTCTTCTCGCTTTTCCAACTAAAACTCCTGGCTTTGCACTTTGCCACGCACTAGGACGCGGAGTAATCATACAACCCCATATGGGATTAGGCTTTAGGGCTTGGGGCCTGTTGGGCTAAGAACCTTTCCAAAATGCACTCCCAGGAGTTGTATAGTCGGACTTGTGCCTTTCCAAAATGGGTTAGACCATGATATGGGTACATGAGGGGCTCCAATCTGAGAACCTTTCCAGGCATTGTACAGGGCTTAGGGATGAGAGTCTGATTAGAGATAAGGGCGAGGAAAAAGAGAGGGTAGTTCGAAGATCATTCAACCCACATCTCATCCGGTTCAAGTGTTGGTTAAATTTTGGCCGGGCTCTGACAAGTGCAAGCCTGAATATGGCTCAATAACGGAAATCAACTCAGAGACGGGCCACCATGCCGCTCTCGTAGTCTTCACGGAAGGAAGCAAGCATACAAGGAAACACAATGTGCATGTACATTTGCATGCGTTTAGAAGCCTAAATCTTTGTAACAGGTCACATCCAGGGGAAAAACGTTTCGAAGGTATAATTCCTACTCTTGCTTGGGGTTCCCAAAACTTGAAAGTCCTGTTCTGGGCGTACCGGGGTACACGACTACAAGATATTGTTTCTTTGAAGGGCACCCCTAAGCCCTAAACCATGTATGGAATCTGAATAGACCAAACCTCCGTCGCCGGGCCTTCGGATCCACAGCCTTATCAGAGAACCCTGCCACACTCGCTGCATCCGAAGAGTTGCCTGTTCAGGGTTTACCCAGAGGGGCTAAGTGCACCATAATTAAGTACTTGGGTTTGGGGCAATAGTAATTAGAGTCTAGTAGAAGTTTTGGGTAAGTATATGATTATTAGGTAGTCAGATCCTGATGTTTAGGGCTTACTTAGTCCAATCCCCATAGCAATAGCCCCCTGCACCCCTTTAATGAGAAATCATCGCGGGGCCCCCACATTAGTACAATTATGTATTAGGGTGAATATTCAGTATCAGGTTGGTAGGGGGGTTGACTATCAGTGGACGCAGACCTGGCTCATAGGGCTACATGGCCCCTTTCGCCCCCAACAACTGCATTCTCTTATCAGGGAATATAATGGAACACTAGGGATTGCAAAGGCTTATTGGGCCTTCTTAGTTTAGGGGGTGCACATACTTGGGAGGGTCATGGTAGCCCTATGAAATTATGAAGCTAGGAACTCGCATCTGAGGCTCCTCCTAGCTAGTGGCTTCTCTGGGGGAGCACGCGTTCATGCATAGAGCCATTCTTGCTGCAGTCAATGCAGTCTGTTCCGCATGAACTCTACATGATTCCATGCTATAAGTCCCAAATTCCTTACTTTGGCTCCTGCATACTTATGACCCCGCTGCGCAATGGAATGAAAGGCCGGATTTGTTCAGTACCACTCTGCAAGACCGTTTATGAGGATGATGCTGCGTGGCAACTTTTCGGGGAAGTTCAAACTCGGCCCTCCCTCAGGCTTCCCTGCGACTTTTGTGCAACATACTGTAAAAGGAAAGCTACCAGACACATGATGGATCCCTCTCTTGAAGTCTTCACACTCAAGAACGGATTGATGATGCTTAGGGATCTTCATTCACTAGCAGCCTTATCATTCTATATGAAAAGCCGGACTTTACAAAGCTTATGCTTTACCGGGGTGTAGTCGCTTGCATGCGCATGCTGTAGAACGGATAAGATGCCATGGGAAAGTTTGAGAACACATCGCAGGTGATGGTCATAGATTGTCATGATCATGCGTAGCATAGTGTGACAAGCCACTTGCAATATTGAAGAATACGTCCCCTGCGATACAATACTACATGTTTTCAAGATATGTATTCTTAGGAGGTGGGTGGGCGCTCAGAGGCACAGACTACTTATGACAGAGGCCCGCCATCGAAACTCCCCTGCGCTTACGGCCTAGCAAGTCTAACCTCAAGCTATGGACCGTAAACCCTCAACGCCAAGCCCTGTAGGCTATCGCATCTTTGGAAATCACTGAGAACCTAACTCCACCTCTAGAGGGAGATGTAGGGATGATATAGGGTCATATAAGGTTTAATGGGGTATAATGGGGTATAATGGGGTTATATAGGCGTCATGGAAGAGAACGTGGAAACTGCCATATTCCAACTGTGAACGAAACGCCCTTTAATGGGAGGCTGGCGAACTTGATGCTTCTTCTGGAGTCCACGGACTACATTGTTATGATTTCGGGTTTAGGGCCTAAAGTGACTAATGCAATAGCGGGCTTTCAGCAGCATCCTGTACTTAAATATCAAAGTTGCCCACGAAAAGCCGTCCTACTTCAAACCCTGATCCTTCAGCAAAACAAAACAAAAGCCCTAGACCCCGAAATCTTCAACCCTAAGCCCTTAAACCTCCCACCTCCTGAAGCCCCTAAACCAAATAAAACCCTACACACACCCAAATTGAGTACATATAAGGCTTAATTTAAGGGTTACGTAGGGTAATTTATGTAGTCATATATATATATATACATATAGACGTGTGTGTATATATATATATGTATAGGCTTAATATAGGGGTTATATATAGGGGTTAACTCACTCCAAAGCCACGAGCTGGCCTCCAGGAACTTTGCAGCTCGCTGGTTCCAGCGGTGCGCCCTATAAGTGTGCTGGATCTTCTCCACAGCCATCTCCATTCCTGGGTAGAGGCTAAGGGTGTAGGGTTAAGGGTGAAGGGTTTAGGTTAATATAGGGGCCTAAATAATTACCAATATTATCCCCAATTATGGAGAATCAAATGGAACATAACATGCAACATGAAATGCACATTGGGGTTATATAGATATTTATAGGGATGATTACCAATATTATGGTTCCATATTCCTTGTGTAATTATAGTATATGGTGCCTCAAATGGACCTCCAAATGATATTGGAAATTCTTTAGGCCCCTGTAGTAGTCAAGGAAGATGCCCTACCCACATATAGGATAAACTATGTGCAAGTTCCGAGTGAATATTTGTGGTTGAGAGCTTAGGATTTATAGGCTTTAGGGATACTGGCCCCCATGGGGGAGAATCAAATTGAAAAGAACGTGGAACATGAGATCTTAACCCGAAAACCCTAAATGGAAACTTGGATTATTCGGTGGCTTTTAAAGTGTTTAACGTAGGGCCCAGAGCGCTGCCTCTCAATCAAAGAATACACCCAAGATCATAAGAGATCCTAATATCATTGAATGGTTTTTTCCGTAATTACGGGGGTGTATTTGGCTCCCTGCAGAAATCCCAGAAAGCCCTAAACCCTAATCCCTGTATGTATTGGGCTCCCATACGGTTTGAGACTCAGAGCGCAGAGCCGATTAGAATTGAGGCTTCAGGAGGGGTCCCAGGGCGGCCTTGAGGCCTCTTTGGTCCTGCAAGGGTTTAAAGGTTTAGGCGGGTTTAAAGCTTCAGAGGTTTCGGGGCTTAGGGTTACAAGTTATAAAGCCTAAATCCATTGTTACAGGCTCTACGTTTTGGGGGCCGATTAAAACCCTAAGGGTCCAAGGACCCAAATAATGGGGCTTTAGGCCCCAAATACTACAATACTTATGGTATTTGGGCCCTGAAACCTTATTAGTTGGGTCCTCGGACCCTAAAGCCTAAAACCCTAAAACCCTAAAACCCTAGACCCTAAAGCCCTAAACCATAAACCCTACAACCCTAGACCCTAAAACCCTATTGTTTGGGTCCATGGACCCTTAGGGAGAGTCAAGGGCGACAAGAGCTTTAGCATCTACGAGCTTCATGGGGGTTTAGGGGTTTAGGGTTTAGGGTTGAGTGTCTAAGGAAACTCTATAGCCCATGCCCCGAAGTCCTACAGAGTCAGCATGTGCCCAGGCTCGTGCAATTTGCAATCCCGCCCGAAGACCACGCCAGAAGCGCTGGATGCAAATGGCCGGCGCCACAGCGTTCAAGGACTTCTTCTTCTTTTTGAGGTATCTATACCTGCTCTTGACTTCTAGGGTCTCGGGTTTACGGTATTTCAGAGTGATGCAATCTTCGTGTCCAAGAGTGCAAGGACTCTGAGGGGCAAGCTGGCTCTAACTTCACAAAGCGTTCGCCTGCCTTCTGTTCGGGTCATGGGGTTTACGAGGGGCCTCCCTTCGCCATGAACCTCCACCAGTTCAGGGCTGACTTTGTTAGGGCTTATTCGGCCTTTTGAGTCTCGCACATTTCACAGTGGATGGGCCCATGGTGATCCTATAATTGGGTCCAGGACGAATGAGTCAAGCTGTTTGACAGGTTGATTGATCTGATCCAGAAGGTGGTTGAGGTTCTCTGCAGGCTCACGTGTTCAAGGGAGTTAGCTGCGTGCCTCCTTTTCGACCTATGTAGGGGCTGGCAAAAATACCTGCTTCGGTTTTGAATGACGACAAGGATCACAGCTTTTTTGGGGTGTACATGAGACGTACCTTGTTTTTCAAGCCTCCATATCTTGACATGCTGTTGCCATAAAGGCTTCGCATCTGTCGACATACCTCTTCTGCTTAGGTCAAGGGTAAGCATTGTTGTACTCCAGATTTCATAGGGTTTAGGGTTTAGGGGTTTGAGGTTTATATTCTGCTGTTCACGTCAGATTTGTGTGAGATTTCCTGGAGCGCAGGCTCTGTGGCTTTTCTCAGCCGGGTTAGGCCTCCAAGCATGGCGGTATGGCACAGACAACTGCTACACATCCTTACAACAGACTTTGGGCGATGGATTCGGGAGGCCGCAACACTCATGAAATCAGCAAGGCATTATGTTCATGGCATTTCCCAGCACTAAACCCCAAACCCCAACCCCCTCAAGGGGGATTCAGGTTTGGGCCTTCTTCTGCGTTTGGCGCTATGCAAAACCCAAGAGAACTGGTGGGTTAAGGCACCAGCAACCTTTCAGAGTATAACGTCTTGACGAAGGATTCCAGCACAATGCACTCTTAGGGAAATGTCCTGAATGCCTTGTCGGCTAAAAGTTTCGCAGTGTAGCCGTTTTCTGGTAGTGTTCTGGTATGGTCATTAGCCCATGACCTGGGAATGGTGCACGAAAATGGAATCCGCAACTAATCCTTGAAACTTGGAATTCATGAGCTAGATCCTGTCCAACGTAGCTGAACCGAAACCAAGCAGAAAACGACAGAAACACGAAAAACATGCCCAAATCTGCTCAGATAGGATTTGGGTGGGGAGTTTCGGGTGAAGATTCATTGGTAAATAACTCATGGACAACCATAACAAGAGGGATTAAGAATCAATCACAAATACATACATACATACATACATACATACATACATACATAAATGTGTGTCTGCATAGGTAATCGTTTGCCAAAATATCTGTTGCATACGATGGCTACGGGGTTGGTCAGCGCTTGAAGGCTTGACGAGCAAGCATCTCACATTCAACCAAATGCCTTGAAGATCAGGAGTACGACTCTTTCGCCCGCTGCCCTCAAACTCGGAAAAAGGACAGGAATGCCAATCCCCAACCAAATTAATCGGGAGGCTTACAAAATTAAAAGAAGGCTTTGCCGTAGTTTATCCTAAGCTCATATGAGTATGTAAGTTATACGGCAGTAAAACAGGAGTAGCTTTATACTGTACCAAGACCTCCATCCAGCGTCTACTATTTCACAGATACCTACAAATTGACGACGAGGACGTAAGGGTGCCCGAATAGGAGCTATAGTCCAAACTCCTACTATCCCCCCCTGAATTATCCTGTACAGGTCATGCAAGTTTCTCATAGACCCTACCCTCTGCCTCTTCTGAAGGCTGATGGCCGCGCGATGGTAGAGCAGTCGCAGCGCAAGCGCGCGGATGATCATGTGAAACCTCAAAGGTGTAGGGTCTGCAGATTAGGAGTTGAGGAGGTGCAGGGCCTAGGTTTAGGAAGTGAAGCTTCTGTCGAGCTGCAACACGACTTGTGGCTGGCATAAACTTTAGACTACTTGGGGATGGGGGGGTACTTCATAAGTAGGTTACTGCTGGGAATCACTGGGGTTATTACATGGTCGGTGTAAATTATACTTGCCAAGTCCCCCTGGCCCCCCGAGTAGGGCTCTAAGGCTCACGGTCCCATGCACCCTCTCAGTGGCTACCTAGACTCGAAGGCTTTCAGATAACAACATTCAATAATGCACCATGGCCATACATGGTTGCACACTTTTTAGCAGCACATCGGAACTGTAGCAGCCCTATAATAGTGCTTATGAGGTTCTAAGATCCGCCCGGCTAGGTTGTAGTACCTACTGGTCAAGCCGTGACAGCACAAAAAGCGAACCTGTGTCAGTCTAATGGCAGATGAGCTATAATCTAAACTCCTGTTATCCAGCTTAATAAGCCCGATAATACTCCTCTATGTAATCCCCTATGTAACTTCATGTAAGTAGTTTAGAGTATAGCTCAGATGCTTGAGCAGGCAGGAAACATGACGACCGCCAGCACGAAGGAGCAGTGGTCGTGCGGTGCACGGTCTGCCATATCCTCAGTCAAGAGTCCCTAAACCCTAAACCCTAAACCCTAAGAGAAAAGGTGGCTCCTTAGGGATGCCTAGGGCATCACTATAAAGAAATTACAGGGTTCAGGCTTCAGGGGCCATACTTGGAGAAACTCTCAGCTTTGTGGAAGAATCAAACAGCCGCTGACTTGAGGAAAGTGGATTTTTTTCCGAAAAGGGGGGGGAAACCTGTTTGAGGGTCCCTATAAGAAGGACTTTAATACTTTGGGGTCTATATCGGGGTCCCCCTATCTACGGAACTACCAAATTGCAAAGACCTTAAGATTAAGCACGAACAAACTGAGCAGTGTTTTTTGGTGACTGCACCCGGTAATACTACATATATATATATATAGGCGTCTTAGAACAGACCACGGCCAAGATTTTATACTTGCATGGTAGTTTCCCTAAATAGGGGAACCCTAATATGACCCCCCAAATGCTATAATCCTTATTATTGGGGCCCCCAGCAAGGTACCACTAATTTCGGGAAACTGCCATTTGGGAGTATAGGAATCCCGAAAGTAAGACGCTACTCATCACCCCGATGAGTCCCTGTATGACCCCAGTTTCTAGGGTTTAGGGTTAAGGCTTTAGGGTCAAGGGTTAAGGGTTTAGGGTCTTTTTCCATTTTGTTCTGCATTATAATGGTAAGATCCCTATATATGGGTGGTTGTCAAAATTATGGTCCCTTTTTGGATCACTATTATAGTACGGCACCTAATATTCAGGGTACCCAACAGGGGACCATAAGTTTGACAACCACCCGTATAACCCCAATATATACCGTATTATAATATAGTAGTTTCCATTTTCTTTTTCCATTATCCCTATACAACCCCAGTATATACCTCATAATCTCCATATAACCCAAGTATATACCCTAGAACCCCTATAATATCCTATAACCTCAACTCAACAAGGTACTGCTCAAATAGATGCCTCCTGCTTAAAGAGGGCCAGGGGCATCTCCCACAGGTCCTGTAAAAATTGTTCCAAGTCCAAGCAACCTTAAAGAGGACGTCACTGCACTGCTTGGAGGCCCAGGGCTTCTACGACACGGCTCTAGTTGGATTATGACATGGGGGGTTTACCAAAATTAGGGGTACCATTGTGCGGGTCTTTATATCAGGGACTATAGTATTTTGGGGTCTATATTGGGGCTCCCTGATTTTGGGAAACTACCACATAACTACACATATAACTGAGAGCTCACCGGCATCCTGGAAGCCATCGGAATGAAAAGAGCACGCAATTGATGGTCCTGGAGCTTGATAAGCCCTGTTCTCCCTGTGTAAAGGGTAAGGCATGGCTATGCCTATGTCTTGAAGCAAGCCTCCAAAATCCAGGTTTAGAACCCGGCGGAGGGTCCAAACACTTGGAGCTCTCTTTCTACTAGTCTTTCCAGGGGGGGACCTAGCATAATGTGGAGCATATACGGGATCCGCCTGGCTTCTGGAAACTCCATTAGGCTTCTTGTTCCGAGAAGCTCCATCTTGTCTGAAACAGCTCTGTCTATAAGCCGGGCTAGCTCCAATACTATAATGTTCTAGAATATCCTACAACTGTACCCCATTATACTCCACGATACCCCCTTATACTCAATATCCAAGATTCGAACAAGCGATCGGTCATCAATACAAAGCGACCCTGGCGAACACCCTCGCCCGTCTTGGTCGTCTCGTCATCCTGCCAGAGCCAAATCTCTGGTTGTTTAGTACAGGAAGAGGTTTAGGGTTGGGGGGTTTTAGGGTTTAGGGTTTAGTACAGAAAAGGGCCCCTGATGCTGTAAGCGCAAACTACTGGATATACTATGCTCCATAAGTCTTTCCATACCACGCCCCTTCTCAAAATGACTGCAGAGCCTGGCCCATCCTCTTGAGAGCAAGGTCCAAAGAATCAGAAAACACAAGCCCAGAACCCAAAACCCTGAACCCTAAACTCAGAATAACCCTAAATCCTACAACCTCAAAACCCTAAACCTCTGTCCCTCAGCCCTAATACTCCAAAAAGCGCTCCTGAAGTATGGGTCATCACAAGGGACCCTTCATCTTGGGAAGCTTCCAACATCCCCACATGTCAACGCCCCAAGATGCGCAACACAGCCTAGACCCTAACCCCTAAACCCTATAACCCTAAACCCCCAAACCCTAAACCCCCAAACCCTAAACCCCAATAATAATCCCTGAGGAATTTGGAATAATGGCCTTTCTGACTGTTCTTAGGGGTGTTTGGCCACTATTTTTACCTACTTTGGGGTCCGGGTAAACCCTAAATCCGGGATTTGCAACGTAAACCCTAAACCGGAAATCCTAAATCCCAGGGCCCCTGACCTGCAAGCCCATGACCGAGTCCATGATCTTGTGCTGATCCCGCATCAGGTAGCCCACCTGGCCCCAAAATGACTTGTTTTGAGAGTGAACACATGTGAGCTATAGTGTAGACTCCTAGTATCCCCTTTCATAACCTCTATAGTAGCTCCCCCTTCATAACCCCTATAATAGTTCCCTTTAGAATCCGTTGTACAACCCCTTTTAAGGAGTTTAAGACTATGACTCAATTGTCCTTGCGCTTCCTAGAATTCCGCCTGGGTGGTGCAAAGTTTCTTACATTACAAATGCAGAAGTTTATGAACTACTCCGGTTTCCCCCTTCCAAGGTCGATGTTCCGACGTAACATTTCCATGGCTACCACATCCGTGTTGCGCTTCTCTTACTCCTCTTTCTTCTCGTCCGACTTCGCGTACTGTCGCTGTGGAGCCCAATCAATTCTGAATGTGGCTGGGTCGGACGTACTCCTAGTATAGTGGTACGCAACCCCCCTTATCTCAAACCGTATTTAAGTTCTTTCGGCCTCGAGCATTACAAGCCCCGAGCCATACATCAAAACGTGTGCAAGTGCTCATGTACTACAGGGGCTTACATAATACCAGTATCTGTTTGAGTTCGATGTGCGACGGTATAACAATACAAGGAACCTAGGACCAGAATAAAGGCATACCCTAGACTCGAACCTAAACCCTAAACCCAATCCTAAACCATGAATCCTAAACCCTAAATCCTAGACCCTAAATCCTATACCCTAAATCGTAGTGGTTCCCAAATATCACTCTTCTACACTACCGGCCTGCTGGATGACGCGCATGACCTTGGCTGCAAGTCATGAACTGTCCCTCAGGGTTTAGGATTTAGGGTTTAGGATTTCGGGGTTTAGGGCGCCCAATAATCATATACTTACCCAAGACCTGTGCTA